AAAGACCTACATATGGAAATGTACAGCTCACAGACGCTAACAGTTCTGCAGGATTATGCTCAAAAACATATGACTGGGAACAATATGTGTAAAAAAATAAGGGAGTTATCATCTAAAGGGAGAAAATATAATTAAAATAGATTATTAATAGTGCAAAGGGAAATAACGAAGCACATGCCCTGCAGCACAGAGTCTATCGGGGCATGTGATTTATTCTCTGAAGGAGTGTGCATAACATTTCCCAGAACAAATGTACAAAGACACACATTTGTGCTGGAGGATTCCTTAATGGTGCACAAAGAATCCATGTAGTAACTTAATAGACAAAAGCTAATATATATATATAGACACATAAAATGTTACACCAGGGATTACACCTCTAGTAAATTTCATGATTAGTTTGTTTGACAATTCCGTAACCCTATCATCATGAGAACTGTGCAACTTTATGACAAAATAAGGATTGACATGTAAACTTAATGGTGTTTAAACATTTGTAATAAACCCACTCTTGGTTTTGTTCATGAATGAGACTGCTAGAGTAAATGACTGGCACTATATAAGCTCTTATCTTGCGTCCCCGCAAGGCTCCTGCTGAGTTTGTAATGACTGACCCGTGACCCTTTAGCAGGAACATTAGTATTAGACCAACCCTGTCATGTTGATTATGGCACTGACAGTTCTCTGCCCAAAGGGAACAAAAATAGCAAACTGTCCCTCACTGAAATCCACACTGGAAAACAGATCTAATGTTAGCATAACAGGACAATCAGAGGCTGGCAGAGGGGAAGATGGGAGTCGAAACTAAAATCAAGATCGATATCTGGAGTGGAAAGAAGAACGGAATAGAGGAAACTCAGAGGGGAGCGCGTTACACCCCAAAACAGATGTGACGTTCGCTCTTATTTTGAGAAATTAAAAACTCAGACACACCCTTGATGTTCCATAACAAGGGAGAGGCTGATGAATCTGGACATGAGCAGGTCTAACCTTCTTTCCTTGTTTTTCTGTTTTTTTCTGAACCACGGACTTGTCTGTTCATTTTTCCAGTTTCCCTCCCGGCTCCGCACACAGCCAGGAGCGTCACCGGGCGAAGCTATCTGACTCTCATAACCTTGTTAATGTCTCTGCTCTGGGAGACTACAGAAGTGAGATCCATTGCTATTTTTAGTCACACGCTCTGTGCCACAACAACACTTTTAAAAAACACCTTGGATGAAACAGAACAGTAGGCAAAGGCTGAGTTGTTTTCGGTCACAAATATTACTCCCCCAACCACTGCAAGTAAAATGAACTCACTTCCTAAACTTCCTATAACACACAATGGCCGGACAATAGTCCCCAAAGACGTCTCCTATCCAAACTAAAGTCAAAAACAGAGAGGAAAGCAACAGCGAACTCTTGCTATGCGAGAATATAATGCTCTTTTGTCAGTAAATGTATCAATTATTAGCATGACGGACAAGAGAGTGTCTCAGGACTGATGGGATATGGATACCGACCTGTGTAAAGTTAATAGTGATGTAATAAAAGCGCACTGTCTCTGTTCATTAGCAGGGATGCAGAATAACAGCGTTACGGACGGGTAGCTAAGCCAGCTGGGCTGCAGACTTGGGAAGTTCCTGCTGCTTCCTCTCTGAGAGAGCAGCAACCGCCCTGTGACAGTGGCACAGTTTTGTTTTGTTTTTTTCAAAACGCATTCGCCTGTGGAGCAAATCAGCAGTCACATTTGAAGGAAGGGCAGTAAGGACGTGGAAAAAAGGCAGAGCATGGGAGAAGAAGGGAAAGGAGGGGAGCAAAGACGGACTGGATGGTATTATCTGCACATTCTATGGCTCGAACCCAAACAAATTTGAATTCTTACAGCTGAGGGAGGAGGAGACTAACCAGACTGGCTGATTCGAAGCTGAGCAGCTCTCTAAGAACTCCTCAGTCCAGTATGTGAACCGCTATAGTAAATACACTAACCTGCTCAACCCAAAACAATGTGGCACCTGGTTTTTCAGCAAAAGATGTAGAAAAAAAAACACATTTGCTTGAATCATTTCATCGAGCAAAGTATCATCACTTTAGACATCTTCACATACACAAAGGCGATCAACAAAGTGGTGAATCTGATGTTATAACGTCAGCAAAACTCAAAACTGAGCACAAAGAGAGCGGATGTAAGTAGGCCAGCTACATCTGCCCCACGAAAACAAAGCCCCCACACACAAGGAGAGGTGGGGGTCCGACATGGGGAAAAAAAAGGACTCGATATTCTGTGAACTACCTATTAACAAAATTCCTAGCCCTCAGACAATAAACACGAATAGACTGAAGAGTGGACCCCGGGGCTAGCCTGTTTCCAATAAGATAAACAAAGCGACCTTCATTGATGTGCATCTCGTCTCGGTAGCGGGCACACAAGGATGCGAGTGATGGGGAAGGGGAGCTGAGTAGTAAACTACTGCTCTGAACAGAAAGAGTAAGAAAATAGGTGGTTTTGTTTTGGGGGGGGTTTTTCCCCTCACAGAAGCAGCAAAGTGGCGAGGTTTGAGTGTATTTCCAAAGGTGGAAACCGGGCAGGCTTGTCATGCTGCTGCTCACAATAGCAGCCATCCAGTTAACCGACGGGGAGTCAGGGCAGCTCGTTTGGCCGTTAGAAGCATGGCAGGGTTTTTTTGTTTTTGTTTTTTTTTTTACCGGGCACGTAATTACAGTTAGAGCATCACTTCGAACCCAGGGGTTGACGGTCCGCATTTTCCCTGTCACATCTCAGGATTTGGAATCAGCACTAGCCATCAGTAGATGTGGAGCAGAAAAAGCTGAAAACCGACCCTCTATTTCAATTGACACCGTTCGACAAAACTTCACGTGAGCATCTGCCGAGCTCAAATCCAGCCTCGCGCTCCGAAACGCAGTGTCCTCCCAATAAAAGCCAAGTTCACGCCTCACTTACCCTTTTCGTTTGGCTGCGAGTCGCTGAATAAGGTGTGTGTGTGTGTGGAGCCCAGCCCTGCCGTGGCTTCGCTGCAGCTCAGTGCGGTGGCCTTCTCTCCCTTCGTTGCTCAGCGATAAGCTGCTCCCTGCAAAGCGCGGCAACGGCGTCAGAGCGGCGGAAGTTCCACTTCCGGGAAGGACTTTCAGAATAAAACAACAGGATGCAGGGATTTTCAGCCTTCAGTTTGAGCCGATAAACATTTACACAACCACCATCACATCGTTACATGGTGTGATGGCTTCATTGCATTTGAATCTGGAGTTCCCAAAGAGAAATTCTGCATTCACACTGAGAACATGCAACTTCCGCACAGAAAGGTCCCGCAGGATCCAAACCAAGAACCCCTTTGCTGTTAGTAAACAGTGTTAACCACATTTCATTGGTGCCTGGGTAAATTAGTGCTCTTTTGTTGATCCATAAGAAATCCTGTCAGTGATTATTTGCTTTATATGACAAAGGATTGCATGGCAGGTTGAATCTTCACCCTTACTTATTATTTCAAATGTATATATTAAATTGTGCTGTTGAGAATCCTACGCGAGTCATAGAAAAATAAAAACAATGAAGGTACTCAGAATACCTAACATGAAACACTAACACAGTGTTAGATAAAGGAGGAATGACATGTTTAGTCAAAGTAGCAAGACTTTGTTTTGATACATGGCTTCTGATGGGAACAAAGTTATATATATGTGAAGGATAAGTCTCCTGTACACCAAAAGATTTTCATTTTTATAAAGATAGAGCACCTGTTAATTTTTTGTTGTTTGTTTTAGTTTATCTATGAAGGCTGCTCCCAAATGTTTTTATGTGAAGCCAACCGAAAAAAACAGATCAACTCAAGGAGTTGCTGTGCAATTGTGTTATATTTATTGACCTGTGTAATATGTGTACTGTGTGTGAGCCATCAATGATTGTATATATTTTAATCACCCAAATCTTTACGCTGTGTTGCTTCCTTGTATATTTGTTTGCTCTTGCTGTACTTAATGCACCTTTTCCTCCTTTTAAATTCTAACCGTTGTGTGACCAGTGAATTTCTCCACTTGTGAGATCAATAAAGCTCTTATCTTATCTTAAAACAAATTACAGATGATTTGTAACTGACATCACTGTGCTGGACCAACTCAGATTGCACTGTAAATAAATCTTTTTTGAGTTTCAAGATCCCGCCTCTTAGATTTGAAAGCAGTAGATGTCATTTCCGGTATTTGGACTGTGCCTGTAGCTAACTTTACACAGCTCCTCCTCAGCAGCGCCTGCGTCTACACTTCCAGCCGTGGATGCTTCCAACTCAACCAGAAGCAATGTCTGCCAGAACCGGGCGGGCGGGTTTCCTGGACTCTCTGGATTCGTTCCGAGGTCTTTTGTCACTGTAGCACCATCTGTACTGCGCAGCTGGAAATGTTAGACTTCATGCTAAAGAAGAGGGCAAAAATCTGCTGGATGATGTGCAGTTTAAACGATTGAGAAAATCATGGTGCAAAGCAACCACAAAGGATCAAGCAGACAAAAAGGAAGAAGATAAACATGCATCACTTTTTAAATCATTGAATCTTAATTGACTTCAGGACAATGCCAATTAGGTGTCCAAGTGTTTGTTTTCCCAACGAACCTAAATAAAATGTACCTTAAATTAGCATTTTACGAGGACTGAGTTTGTTATTATTATTATTATTATTATTATTATTATTATTATTATTATTATTATTATTATATTTATATTTATATTTATTATTATTATTTTTATTATTTTTAATGTTATTGATGATGTATTACAAAGTGGTCAACGAAAGAATTACATTCTCTAAATTTCCCAAAATTTCAAAATTGCACAGTTGTTTTGTCTCCTACGGTGACGTAATGACGTTTCTTCCCTCTCTACGTAAGAGCACTGGTTTTACTGTACGGCAGAGCCACAAAGTGTGATTCTGATCAATTTCAATAGTTACGGTGTCATTTAGTAGGTTCAGTCAATGAAAAAAACCCTTTTCTGTTAAGAATTTAGAGTGCACAGCCAATTTGAAGCCGCTGAAATGGTCATAGTGTTTTTAGGGTGATATTTTGTTACTTCCGGTAGGTGCAATGGTTTAAATCAAACCACCCCGTCCGTTACAGGGGCGTTGGGAGTTGGAACAGGAATGTGTGTGCGTGCAGTTGGTAGCAAATGACAGACAACATGGACGACCCGCGGGACGTTCAAACTTCCAAACGAATTGGCAGCTCCAGGTCAATGTTATCGGCCGGTTCTGCGGTGGCTATGGAGATTAAACGAAAGAAAATAAGACAGAGTACCTTATTCCTGCAAACAGAGGTATGTTCAGATCGATAGAGCGCTCCGTGTCTTGCTTGAAACATGACGACCAGGCAGTTAATGCCGAGGGGGGTACAAAGTGCAACGATGCTAGCGAAAAAGCTAATAAATGCTTCTTTTTGTGTTTACACAGCCGTAATAACATTAACTTTTTGCATTTAATTCTAACTAATTTACCTCTCTCATCTGGTTACTGAAGCTTCATAGACTCAACGGCTTTTCTTTCCCTGGAACAAATAATTCATGTCATGGGGAGTAGCCTTTCTTTTCTTTTTCATTTTGTATTCACGTCCTTTAACCGGAGCCCAGTAATCTCTGCAGTTTTATTTGCTATGGCACAACTTAAACCAATGTGCATACAGGCAAAAATACGACCTAGTCTTTGAATGACACTTAACAGATAACAGACGGCATGAATTTGTTGTCCAAATCTCTATGAAGCTGCAGGTGCATTTATCCATTTGTGATGTGGAGAATGGTGGTGTTTGCAGAAACAGAACTTCTGAGTAGACATTAGATTTTTTCACCTTCTAAGACCACCTCATACATCATCATACTGCAGACTATGACATTTATATCCACAGCTGGTCATTTGTCCTTTTTAACTCTCCATCCATTTTGGGATTTTCCCATGTCAAGACGGCAAGTAGACAAAAACTGTTTCCACGTTTTCCACGAGTGATGTCTTCAAGTTTAACCCTACAGTTTCTGTATTCATAACTGTACCTTTGTTGTTCTGAGAACAGTTAAAATCCTCTTTAAGGCATGTCAAATTTATGTTTTGTTAGATTTTTCGAAAAATCTGATTGATGCAGACTTCCCATGAATGTTGGTTCCCTTAAGATTTAAGCTCTCTCGTTACCTAATGAATAAAAGGGCCTCGTATTCTACAACTAAATATATTTAGGATATATCCAAGTCTAATAACATTTATTTTCTTCTTGTCAAAATGGAGATTCATATGCAACCTCTCTTTAACAGAAATTATTGTGTCCATCTACATTCTTTCAGGATTTAACAGAAACTGCCTTATGCAATACATTTCTTGTGTTTTCTCCATCCACAAAGAGCACAAACATTCAAGAGAAGCTTGAGTTTGAGACGCGAATGCGAGAGGGGGCCTACAAGCTGCTGCTAGCCTGCAGTAAGAAAGAGCAGGTTCTTAACGCCTCTAAGAACCTGCTAACCTGCAATGCCAGGATCAAGGCTTACCTCGCACAGCTGCAGAGGGAAAAATGGAGGGATGCTACTGGAGCGGCCAAAAGGTAGTTTAGTACTTTTGTAGTAAAAGATTTCAAGTTGAAGTTTGAAGATTTGAAAACAAAGAGAAGATTTATTCTTCAATCAGTTCTGAAAGGATTTTCCTGATACTCATTTTGTGATCAGTTAATATGATATATCTCAAATTTTACTACAGAAACACTGATCCTGGCTCAGATGGCCGTTTACCCTGTAATGGGACCATTGCTATGTCTGGTGAGATTGTTTTGCTTTTCATTTGATACTGAATTGATTAAATTGGAGAAAATCTTGGAGTGCATGAACTGACTGTTCTCCCCGTCTTTGTGGCAGGACTACGGTTTCCTTTGATATGGAGGGATTCAGACCACTTTAATAACAAAGGGAGTATGTTTAGACTTTCATTGCTCACATTCATACCTTCCGTTTAACTATCATTTTTTCCTGGAATAACCTATTCTTTGCATCCCCTGTGTTTGGTAGGCTCTCGACGGGTGGCCATGTTCTGTCTGATGCAGATTGGCTCCCAGGTGTTTGACACAGAGATGGTTGTTGTGGATCGATCTGTCACTGACGTCTGCTTCGAGGGAGTCACCATCTTGTAAATATCAGTGTTGTGCTGTCATTTACAGTTTACAGAATTTCAAAAGGTTTTGTCTGTTGTCTTGATCCAGTCTATTTCAACATATTTATGATTCTTGCTCTCAGTAAAGAGGCAGATCCTCATTTTGAACTGAAGGTGGAGCTGTGGAGCTGTGCCCTGGAGGAAGAGCTCACTGTAGTAAACACACCAAAGAAATTTGCAAAGAAGCTTCGAAACTCCTTTGGAAAAACTGCTGGGAAGAAGCTCTGCTCTCTGCTGGACACTCCAGACCCTGACACCTTCCTGCAGAGCAATCCCCTACCCATGTGTGTATTGTGTTATCTTTCCAAATGCTGAACAAGCTCCAGAGTCTCTGTCAGATATCAAGTCACACAAAAATCACAAAAGTCTCAGAATAAAAGAAACAACTAAGAGCTATGTGAAGGAACAATTACACAGTTTGTTTTGAATTAAGGCTTTAATAAGTGTTGTGGTTGTGAATATGACATGTAAGCCTTTGGGCATTCAAATATTTCATGCTCCCACATGAAATTTATTTTGGTCTGAGAGGAAAAACATACTTAAAGACATTTAGGGCTTAAAGTTAGACTTTCAACTGAACATCTGTAAGTGATGATTACCACATGTTCACAGAGATCATTTGGCTTTTAAAAGGAAGAGATCATTTAGAAAAAACAACATGATTTAAGAGCACATTGTTTGGCCAGAGATTATGATTTAGGATATGTAGTAAAAAGAAATAACTTAATAAGCTTTGTTTGAAAAGTGCAAAATGCTGAATGTGTCTCTTCTCCTACCAGTGGAGCCAAATACAGCCTGCTGGCCTACACAACTCTTGGTCTGCCTGAGGCTGAAGGCAGTTTTCAGTCTCACTCCCTCATTGTCCTCCAAGGCGGTAAGAGGCAAAGGCACAGAAATTCAATATCATGGGATAAAAAAGGCTTATGTCTCTCAGCTCATGAACTGAACCAGTGCCATGGCAATGATAAAATATATTTACACCAGTAAACTTGAAACCTAGAATTAAACCAAATAACCCATAATTGAGGTTTTTCTTGGATTAGTTTTCATCTTTTTACTCAAGTGATTAAATGGATGAAAAAGAAAAGCTGGTGCTCAGGCAGGCTTTTGTTGTATAGCACTAATTTCAGACTTTTGGTTTGCACTATGGTACATTAGCGTTCAGCTCCACAATGCATATTATTAGCTTTTAAATTACTGTTATGACAGGAAACGGGAAATTTAATAGGTCTCTATTAGAATAAAAAGTGTGTTTTTGTACTCTTTTAAGATTGGAATAATTCATTGTGAATACATTTGTTTTTACATAAAATATTCAGAAGTTTAGCAAGATTGATAATTGCAGAGCTGTGTTTCTTTGGCATATTTTACCTCTGCTTTTCCCTTCATCACAGCTGAGTGTTCATCTTGGCTTCCTCTTTATGGAAACCTCTGCTGTCGGTTAGTTGCGCAGCCAGCTTGTATGACACAGAACACAATGACTGGCTACTTGAGTCAGAAGGTGTGTAGTGCATCAACTACTTTTCTCATTACCCAAAAGCTCCTGGTTTTGATTCTGTACTTACTTTGTTCTTACTTTGTTCTTGTTCTTTTTTTTCAGCAAAATTTGGAGGGGATGAGCTGTTGCTGCAGTCTTTACTGCGTGCTGAGGGCCGGTTTTTTGTCCTGTTACTTCATCCCAGAAGAAATTGATGCTAAAGTCCAACCCACTCTCACTGTGCCCATCAATAAAGTGAGAGAAAGGAGTCAAATTTAGAAATATGAGTCCACTTTTTACCCACTAATTTCACTTTTACTAAGCAGAAGGAGGAATTTTAGAATGATTAAGTTGAGCCTTTTCCTCCTTCACCTTAACATTTCGCAGACTAAACAGAATACAAAATGCCACATTGAGATCCTGTTTGCATCTTCTGGCATTTTACTGCTGAATTAAGGGTTTCTTTTTTTTTTTTCTTTTTTTTTTGCCGTATCGGCAGAAGACCTTTTAGTGCAGTATCCCACATTAAGTTCTAATTAGTAAAATGTCAAACTAATTTTCAGCTTGTAATAAGTTATTGTGTTGTTTTTGTTTTCTTTTTTTTTTTCTTGTGTTTTTCAGGGAACTCAAATCCGTGTAATGGAAAAAGAGTCAGCAGGCCAGAAATCCAGGAGTTTGTCCATCAGTAACCCCTCACCAGATGGACCTCAGACCGTTGTCTTTATCACAGACAGCAGGGATGAGCTGGAGGACTGGCTGGACGCCCTCCACCAGCACCTCTACGATCAGAGTGAGTTTGTTTTTGGGTGTCTAATCAAAGTTTTCTTAATACTTGCTCTTGCATCCCTCTGGGCCAGAAACCCATATGCAGAGAAAATGAGCTAAATCCTCTTAGCAAGAACAAACACTATATTAATCAGTGAGCTGTGTTCATTGTTTGCATGTAGACCAGTGGCTGCACTGTTGTGACCAGTTAATGAAGATTGAGGCCACGTCCCCACGAAAGCCATCACTCTTCCTCACCAAGCAGGCTGACTCTGTTTACAACGACCTCAGTAAGTAGATTCATTCGAGTTAGCTACTGAAGTGAGTTTAGCTGAAGATGATCATTGGGATGTTGAGGGTTTTACAGGATCTTTTGTTGTTGGTTTTTAAATGCTGCCAGATTCAAGTGCTCACAGCACATAAAATGGAATAAAATGGTCTTCATTACTTTGGTAATGCATGCAAAAAAAAAAACTCTCAAGCCATTAGGAAAGTGGAATATATGCTTATTTTTCCATTGGAGTTTTTTTCCTCGTATTTAAAAAAAACAACAAAAAAAACATTTTTTTAGCATATATGTAAATATATATATTATATATTTTTTCTGGCAGGTATCAGTTCACCTAGCAAATTTGAGAGCATTACTGATATCATCCACACCAAAATAGAGGAAACAGATGGCCTCTTCCTTATTGGCCATGAAGAGAAGAGGGAGGCCCCTAATTGGTCCACTCTGTTTGATGGCTCCCATTCGGTGGTTGTAGAGAAGAGTATTTTGTCCCAGAGCAAAACTTCCACCCCTTGTTCAAGCCCCAACACCAGCTCTACACCCCTCAGCAACAAGAAGCGACGCGCTCCACCCCCTCCGTCTAACAAAGAGCCTTACGCTCCCCCAACTCGCCCAGCCAGACCCCCTCTTCCTGGTCCTCTTCATCCTCAGCCTCCTCTGTCATACCTGGAGAAGGAGAACTCTGGTGCAGACGTTTCACGTCCAGCCACAAGGTCCAAAACAGGACGGCCGTCTCTGGACGCAAAGTTTTCTGCCATCATCCAGCAGCTCCAGCGGAACAATGCTGGGGGCACCGCAGCCCACAGCCGGAAAAATGCTCCCCTGGGGGTCCGGGATGTTCACCCGCAGGTTCAGCCTCAGCCTCCTCCTCAGCAGCACGATTACCAAAACCACCAGACCCAGACCCCTGAGGCCACAGCTGATGGTGGTTTTGTCAGAGCCTGTAATGGTCCTGTTCCTGCACCGCGCAGCAAACTAAGGAAGTCTTTCAGGGAGAGAATGAACCTCAAAGCACTGTAACTTCAACTTAAAGCATATTCTGTTTTTGGCTACCACTAACAAGAATGACTAAATCACAACGTTTCAGCTGACCTGGGTTAAAAAAGAAAATAAAATCGCACACAGTAACACAGTAGTGGTGACAGCTGCTTGTATGTGGCTGGTTCATCAGAGGAAGAAGAAAAAGCTTGTAATTTTAGGAATCATGCTTCTTGCTGATATATGGCTGGAAAAATTTAATACGAACCTCAAATATGTATGCTAACTGGAAGACTGGAGCTAGTTAGCTTAGATCATGATTAGTTTATGTCAAAGGGAAAAAATTACTTATGTTTGCTAATAGATCATGAAATCATTTCACAAGAACCACAACACATACTTCCATACCACTAAACGGAAAAAAGTAAAAAGAAGCACTCGTGAAATCTTTAAGAAAAAAAAAAGTGGATGGGTTTTGTTGTGGTTTTGCATATCAGAGCCTCTGAGGGGACGACTGTCCCTGGTTAAATGTGAGGTGCACATGGGAAGCTTTTGGCCTCATGAAGTGACTCACTGGAATGTGTTTGACATCCTGTGGTTATAACAAAGCTCCAGTGCTAAACTGATAATAAAACTGCCTGCGTTTAGGGTTCCGTTTTGAAGATAAAACATGTTAATTAGTAAACTTTTAGAAGAGCTGGTCAGCAGACTTTATCGAGTTTGAAGAGAGCCAGGATTTGTTTTGACCTCCTTTCAGCTTCTACTAAACAACCTTTCTCATTAGATTCATCTCAATATTGATAGCACAGATCTTTCATTTTCAAAAGCAAGGAAATTCAGTTTCCTAAAGTAGAAAAATATTGGCGTGACCCCTTGCATAGAGAGGTGGCAGCCATTAAACCTAAAGGCATTCTCAAGATCCTCGTTACAACCGCACAATTCTGCGCGACTCTCCATTCTACAGTATCAGCCGAGACGTCTCCTGCTCTACTTTTACATTTATCAGCTTTTTCATGTGCAACTAACCCTTAAAAGAAATTGAAAGCTGCATGCTGGCTCCAAGGACCACCGTCATCAATCCAACTAAAATGGAAAGGCTTATTTCTTTGCTCTGCCACTGGAACATGAACTGAAGAAAGAGCCTTTGGAAAAGCACTCAAATTGGAATTGATCTATTGGCTAACTGTGGACGAGTCATTCCTCTGGAACCATTGGCATATTATACTTACTGTGATGACTTTATGACCACTACAGCTGGTTCTAAAGGAACACGATTTTTAGGAGCAACTGCAAGCACTAATGTGACTTTCCTTTCCCCCAGAGGTCTTAATAATAGAGTGACCTCGGTTTTTAGTGGCTCCACAATATGACTGACATCATTTAGCGTTGCAGACAATAAATACTGTGAACATAATTGAATGAATGGGTCTTTTGAGTGGCTTAAATAATGAATGCCCCTGTGTTTGTGGGTGTGTTTTAAACATGCCTAGTATTGCCAGTCACTAAATATTTCAGCCACTTAATGATATTGTTTTGAGAAATGGCCATCATCCTCACACATGGTGTACCAAATGTATGGTATTGCTACTTTCCCTGAAATCGCTTCCCCAGATGAAGCATCACGATTAAAGCTACAGTAACTGTTTTTCTTACCTCACTTTAAATTCAGTTCAATTTAGAGGGAGAGATGTAGATTGGTGGGGAGGTGGATTACAGGAGGATTTAGTTTAAGCTTTGAAAGAGAAAGCAGGAGCATGGATTGTACAAAAGGGGATGTAGCCCAGCGTTAGCAGTGTGCCAGATGCTTGGTGTGTATTACCGGTACATCAGTCACTTTGATCTTCTACTGTATGCACCTGGAAAAACAGGAGAAAGCTTTAGGCTAAAGTTTCCCAGCATTACTTTCTCACTGATGATGTTATTAAGTTCCAGAGGGAATGATTATTGGTTATAATACACATCCTGCATCCTCATGAACAGCTTGTTCATTCTCAGTTTGGTTTGACTTGTAAGCATTGCTGAGAAGTGCATGTCAGCTTTAGTGGGAGACGCACTTCTGCATCATTAGGGGAAATGAACATGACTGCCTCTCGTAAAACTTATTTTTAAAAAGCAAGAGGGAACAACATCGTCTATTGAAAAATGATTAATGTAATAAGGAGATATATGCAACTGGCTAGTGAATCAATTAGATTGTTTCCCCCTTTATTACTCACGACTGCTTTTACATTAGAGATGATTTGTAGTTTTTGTACTGCTTTTGAGTAAAATGTAATTATTTTTTATAGTTTACTGCCATATCATCTCAATATCTCACCACAATTATGTAGACTCTGACTAGATGTTTATGTACCACTAAGTAGCAATAAATTCTTGTCCTAGCACAGCATAAATTGTGTTTAGCGCAGTGTAAACAAAAATTCATATTGTAATTGTATTTTCTAATCGTGCAATGTCTTCTCGCTCTGTCTTGGAAGCTCACTTTATTATTTTTCTTTTTGTACTATTGCTGATCTGCAATAAAAGCAACCTACATTCTGCCCTGGTAAGGCTGTTTTATTTCTGCTGAGCTTGGAAGTCTTCCTGAATATTTTTCATGTAAAAGGTTTACCAGGGGGTGGCAATAAAAGTCAAAGCATAGCTTTTATTACGTCCCAATTCACGTCCTATAGAGATACGTGCACTGGCATATTCCCCCACTGCAGCAAACACTGGAGAGCTTTCTCTGGCTTTGAGCCTAGAAGTGGCCTGTTGTGAAGATTAAGGCGGATGGAATCTCATAGGCAGATAATGGCATTACAATAATAAAACCCCATTCACACTGCATTTACTCATAAGAAAAACATCACTCTGATGTTAGCACACTGGTGTTAAATATAAGTTCATTCAGCCTTCAATATGTACGTGCAGTTAAGAACACAACTGAAGAAACATGTATAGATAGTAAAATATTTTAATTAAATATACAGGAGGTCATATCATACAAAATGTCTTTATTTTTTATCTTGCTTGCCAGCTGGGTGATTGGTAAACAGATGGCTATGGTATCAAAAACACTTTTAGGATGCACATTAATGGAAACAACAGGGGAAAAAAAGTGAAAATGCAACAAATAAGAGTATCCTAATTCCTAAATTGTAGTGTCTGTTTGAGCCTAACATGAAACAGCAAAAAGGACACAGCTAGATCCTGTAACCAGCTTTTATATTGTTTTTTTCTCTTTTTTGTATTTACAGATTATAACAGTTTATATGATAACAACCACGCATTACTATCTACAAGGCTATTTACACAGAAAATAAGACGAGAGAGAAGGGTTGCCATGAATTGATCCCGTTTGAATGTTCTGTACAGGAGCCAGCACTAATGCCAGTTTTACCTACACACAGCAATGTACAGTACTTAATCAGAAATGAATGTCTTTAAGTATTCAGTAAAACTTTACAAACAGACCTTTACAGCTTTTTTTCTTCTTCTTTTAAAACACCAGACATGTTCACTCTATTTCAACTATCCTGGATTGCAATTATAGTGGTTGTAAAAGCCAGCGCAGGTGTTGTCTTTCCACCCCAGGCTATGGGGCACGGTAGGCATACTTTATGGAGTCTGGTACCTTTTCATCACAGCTAGAAAACACACAAGGTTCACATGCCCTGAAGGTGACACACACCAGACCCGCATCAGTTTCAATTGTCAGTAAATCTAATCACCTGTCTGACAAAGTTAAGCTGAGCGAGTTTATTTGTCTAAGCAGAAAAACTAAACATTTGATTAGAGTTGAACCGTTTACATTTTAAAATGTGAAATTTTGTGCCTTATCCCCTCAGACACCCTCTGGTGTCTGATAGCGAGATGTGCCATGTCATTTTTGTGTGAGTGTCTTGAGAGAGTAATATGGATATTCCTACCCTGCTACACAAGATAAACCTTAACAAGTGTAGTGCTAACTCTAATCCAAGGCAGCAAAAGGCACAGATATTTGCAAAGCAGTAATATCCTAAGTGACAACATTCCTATCAAATCATATGTGGAGTCTTTTCAGGGTGTTAAATAAAAGTCTGCCACTCCCCACGAAAAGAAAAAGGTTTTCAAGTTAGGGACAAAAAAAGGATGAAGTGCTGATCTTTGTGGTGAGCATTCCACAGCAGACGGCTGCTTCATTATGCTGGTCCTACAGACAAAAAACAAGCCGCGACAATCTGCTCATCACGAAAAACATTGGGGGTTTAATCGCTTTCAATTTGGAAAGCGTAAAAACAAACAAGCTTTTCACTGACTGTGAGCAAAGAAACATTCATGATTTGTCGAGGGATTGAAGGGGACGACTGTTTTTGCTGCATCGGAACTGAAATACACGACAAATAAAAACCTGAACTGAGTAAAAAGTGACTCTACAGTACATCAGTTGTACACAGCACCTCTGAATGTTATGTCATGGCAAAACTATTCAGGTTGCACCACAGTGAGTGTTAATGTCTATTCCAAGCAGTCCAGATGGATTTGCTGCGGCACTAATAGGCAACAAGAGTCCAGCGTGGAGACGTGTAAACAGATACAACACCACTGGCTGCCTAGAGACTTTTTAATGCGCTGAAGAACTGTCGAACATTGTCTGCGATGATGAACACACATCTAGTTATATAAAGATTTTAATTTTCATTGTCATGTTACTTGTAGTGTTTTTAGGCAACAAAGTTAAGCCCTCAGACGTAGTAAACAAATGGCTTTTCTCTGTTGCCCTCCACTTTTCACACATCCAGAGCAACCACCTGACTCATGGTTATAGAGCGGCAAACTGATCTGTGAGCACATACATGTGAGCATTGTGCAAATAGGGATACACCAGCAACGACACAAACAAAAAAGATACAGTAAGTGGTGATAAAAATAGAGAACAGTGCAAAGTATATAAAAAAGACGATTTTAAAAAAGAAAAAAAAAGAAGAAGAAATGGAATTTTTCTGTCTGTCATTTGCTGGAGTTCTAATCAGTGTTTTGTCTCGACTGACACACAATCCCCGAAAAAAAAGGGAGACAGAAGAAGCTGACACAGTCTCGTGAGGATGAAGGAGGGCGACGAATAGACAGCTTTTCTATCCACTACAGTCTGGTGCTGGGGTGTACCGACGACAGCTGAGGGGGCGGGAGAGTCGACAGAGGGTAGAGGTGGTGCAACAGGTCTCCGTAGAGCGCCGCCCCGCCCGGGTGCCGGTAAAAGTGGTGCGGACTGGGGCTGGAGGCCAGCAGCTGCCTGTGGAGCATCATGGAGTGGAAGGCGAGGGGGGGCACGAGCGGAGACACGGCGGACTGGCTCTTCAGGTACTGGAGACCTGGATGCTGCTGGAGTCCGTCCTGGGCGCCGGGGGAGACCAGGCCGCTGTGCGGGTACATGCCGGCGTACAGGGGCGCGGCGTGGGGCGGGGGGAAGGTGGTGGTGGGGTGGCCCTCGGGGAGATGATTGTTGAGGTGAATGGCGTGGGCCGGCTCGGCTGGTTTCAGCTCTTCCGGGTCGCTGCGCCGGACGGCGCCGGCGGGGTGGATCGGCGTCACGACGCGCACTTTCCTCTCGGGGGCGTCTTCACTCTCCGGCTCCACCAGGCTCCGCTTACTGGGGCGAATGGGGCTGGTGAGGGACGACTCACCTGAAGCTTTGGGACTGGGAAATGGCTGCGAAGACTCGGCCGAGCTCGGTTTCGGGGGAGAGATTGTCATGGGCGGAACTCGGCACGCTTTGGGGTGGGAATCCAAACCCTGATGCATGATGGAATAAGGGAGACTACAGAAGGTGGGCTTGGGGAAGGAGGGCACCCTCTGAGAGAGGGGCTTAGAAATGGTGAAGTCTCTGGGCTCGTCTTCAGCCTCCCTGCTCTCGCCGTGAGTCTGAGTCCTGTCGCTGTAGTGAGATCTGTAGGCCAAGCCCTCCTGCTCCAGGGTGCCACAAACAAAGCCCTGGCTTCCCTCGCGGTCCCTGATATAGTGCTCTCTCCGCTCCCCACCGGCAAAGCCAGCCATCCTCTCTTGGCTCAGGCAACTCTCGGTTTGTCTGTACAGATTGTGGAGGTGAGGGGAGGAATAGCAGTCGCCCGCGTAGCTTCTGGACTGAGCGGGCGGACCGAGGACGAGCTTCTCTCCTGTGCTTTCCACAGCATCTTGGGTTTGGGGGAGGTAAGGCTGCCACGGTGCGCTGACTTTGAGCGGGAGCTGATGATTTGTCCGGCAGCTGAAAGTGTCCGAGAGCTCCCCGGCGGTGCTCCTCTCGGACGGGCCGCTGGCGGCCGGCTGGTGAAGCTTACTGCTCTGTGCGTGCTGGATGACCGACGGCCTGAACATGGGCGCCACCTCGGGGATGTTGCCCGACCCGCGCCTCTGTCCCGCCGCCGCCTCCTCCTCGGTCTTTCTTTTGTCTTTCTCCTGCTCAGCTACGGACAGGACGGGTAGCGCGGATGTAGTTGTGGGGAGAGGGGGCGGAAGAGGAAGAGAGGAAAAAGATAAAGGGTTGGACTCACACACCATGGAGATGAGCTTCTTTTTGGCCAAAGGAGACATGACCCCTTGGCTGGCTTTGCAGTAGGCAGCCGTCTGTCCAAGGTTCTGTGAAGGCTCCTTCCTTACGACGCCATAGTTATCTTTCTCTGGGAAAGAATCTGTGCTCAAATCTATACACTGTCCATCTGTCTGCTTACACATGGGCAGCACCTTCCCCACTCTCCCGCCGTGAGTTTCAATAGAGTCTCTGACCTTGGAAAAGGGCTCTGGCAGAGCAACGTGTCCAGCAGGTTTAGTCTGATCCCAACGATGAGGCAGGTATGGAATTTTAGGAATAAAATGCCCTTCGGTTTGCTGTTCTTCTGTGAGTTTCACCTGGAGGGCCTCACTGATCTGCCTCCATTCAGGCTGGGCCCCGGGCCCCGTGTGGAAGGGCAGAGCAGCGTGTGGGGCTCTGCAGTCTGCCTCTTTGGGGCAGAGCGCGGACGGCTGCTCCACCGTCAACGACTCCTCTTTCTTCAGAGTAAGATGTAATTCTTCCTCTTCTATTAAAATGGGCTCATCTTGCTGAGACACCTCTTCCTTTATGGCTGTGGAGAGCTCGTGATTCTCTTCTTTCCCCTTTAAGTCCTGCACGGAAAATAGGACATTTGTTAGAGTCGTTTCTCGAAGAGGAAACAAACAAGACACTCGTATTTTTTCTTATGAGTTGTGACTGACCTGTGATTGTTCTTGGCCTTTCACTATTTCCCCTCTGTCCTTTTTACTCCCCAGCTTCAGATTGTTGGGGACTTTTAGTTTCTTAGCTCCTACTCCTTTGGCTTTAGTTCCAGTTGTAGAGGCCTTCTCTTGGCCACCCTCCTGCTTCCTGGGTTTGGTCAAGGGGAGGGGCTTGTCCTGCTCTCCTTTTACATGCCTCTCGTACGGAAGGAGGAGTCTGAAGAGGAATGACAGGAAAATGAATAATTAGTAATGATCACAATTTTGATTATCATTTTTTCTATCTTTACACAAGCAAAATATCTACATTTCAAACACCCTAAAAGCTAATTTCAAAAGGAAGAAAAGCCAGTTATATTGTTTGTGTTTTTCTGTGTATTACTACAGAAGATTTTTTAAAGCATTTTGTTCTAAACTAACTCAACACAAACAGCAGGTTCACTATGCACATATTACTATCTTACATAAAAGAACCCTTATTTTAATACCTGGAAAGTATTAGCAGTTCAATTGTAATTAAAGCTAGGCTAGGGGAAATCCAGGCTCCAGTTGGTATTTGTGTGTGTGTCTGTGTGTGTGTGTGAGTGTGTGTGTCTGTGAGAGAGAGAGAGGGAATGTGAATAATGAGTTATCCCCTGCTGACACAGATCACATTTGGTATTACTTTAACCTTGACAGAGCGGAATATGCGTGTGGGTGTGTACAGTTACTGTGGTTGGAAACAAAAAAGAGAAAATATCTTTAAGGCCTGAAATCAAATGCTCAAAAGAGACCTTACAGCATAAAATATCTACTTCAACATACTAATATGATGAATGGCATGAGCTCTAACAGAAATAAAATATTTTCACATGATAATAATACGCCTGGGTTTTTAACCCGTGCAATAGCTGTCTACTCTCAGGTTTTAATAAGTGCATACTAAACGACAGAGATCATTCCGTAAAATGAACATCAAACATATTCTGACTTCTGTTTTTTCTTCTTCGAATACATCCCAAGTCAGTTTTCCGTATCTGATGTTGTAACTAATGGGAACATTAAGATCTGGATAATATAACAATACCCATGTGTAAAATAATGGCATGAAGAAACCAGGAAGGGAAACTTTTAGACTTTTATTGCTCAGGGAAGAAAATGGAAATTGGCAAATGACCAGAAATAAGAAACTCTGTGGAAGAGGAAACCAAGACAACTGAAAAACTACAACTCAACAAACTTCAGTAAATTTCTCCAGATCCTCTGTCAGGTTTTTGTAGATTAACAATGCATGAAAGCCAGACAAAAAACATGGCTTTTTCAGTCACGAGTGAAAATAAGGTCTTCTGTCGTAACAACAAGAGACGTTTGCACTCTTCCTTTTAAGGGACATGGCGGTAAAACAAACAATGAATCAAGAGCTGTTTCACCCACTCTTCAAAAGAGAGCGAGAAGAAAGAGAAAAAAAAGCCTTAGAGAGTTCAAGAGGCTCTGTGGGATTTTTTTGTTATTTTTCCTCTGAACAAAAGTGCTGGCAGGCAAAGCGGTGAAACTACATTTCATACAGCTGGTCTGGCACCAGGCCCCAGGCCAAGAAAGGAAATGTACTATTAAATGTGACTTATTGGAGAGACAGAGAGCAAAGAGGTTGTGAAGGAGAAAAGAGGAGGGGAAAGAGACCAAAAGAAGAAAGAAAAAGGGATAATAAGGGAGTGAAAAGGAGGATGAAAGCTAATTAATGAGGAGAAAAGATTCCTGCGATGAAATCCATGAAAAACATGTTGTCTCTTTAACTTGAAGTTGTTATTTATTAGAAAAATGTTAGTGCATCTGAGCCTTTTGATAAATATGAATGATTTGAATTTAAACTAAAAAATTCCAATCACAATAAGTGTTTTAACTTGTTAAAGATGTTATTACTTCAATCGTAAAAATGGACATTCAACATCTGCAAATGTCCGGCTTACATCCTGTCAAACAGTCATATAAACCTCACATATACCAGGGTGCACTGTTGACTATCTGCATGATCTGTGGGAAAGAGATGGCTGACTTGGCCTGGGTCAACTTTATGGAATGTCAATAAGGGGCAGGGGGAAGGGGGGTGGGGGGGTGGGGGGGGGTCTTGTTGCTGCCCTGGATAATGTAAGAGCTGATCCCGGGAAATTACGGAGGGCCTTTAAATAGTTTTAAATGGAAAAACCTAAGATGGCATGTTGGGCAGAAAAACAAAATTGAGTCTGGCAGTCATTGTCAAAATGATTTACTTTGTTAACAAAACCAGATGAAACAAATGTCGCCTCTTGATGTGTCATTCTTTTTTTTTAAAATCAATCTACTTCTTCAAATGTTGTTGCTAACCCATCTGCAAATAACTGTTCAAGCTACAGCGCTCCCATCCCTCTTTCCTATTCAGATTCTATAAAGAAAATATTAGGAAGTAAGCAGAGCAGAAAATCAAAGTAAAACCCCCTGTCTGACAAACAAGGGTAATTCAAAGCAGTTTCGCATAAAACTAAGTAATGATTGTGCAATATGATATAATAAGTGCCCGAGATACAATATCACTATGAGTAGCAATTTCCTCCAAGGCAGAGAAAGAGATGAGCTTGGCAGCCTCTACATTGGCTGAGAGAAAGCCAGGTGTAGTTTGTCGGGTGTGCCACTTGGGGGCGTACGCCACACTAACAGATTCCAAGAAACTATTTCATCAGGGCAGGAGAGGCAACATTTTTATGAGGTCAATAAATGCTTAACTTTGTCTCATGCCAACGTATCACCTGGCTTTTGTTTAAGCAGCCGTTTTCCATTTTGATAGCGAGCAGCAAAAAATATGCGGCGAGGAGATTAAAAATGTAAAGGTCAGAGATAAAGGGTGTCTCACGAAATTAAACTAAGGACTGTTTCTTCATATTTATGTAATGCGTTGCATCCACGATCGCAAGCAGTGTAATTCATCACAGCACAAGCGTTTGAATTACACAAACAGCACCTCCCCCTCTGAAAAACACAACTTGGCAAAAACAAGGTGACTTTACCAGCAATGTGCTGCTCTCATCTAAGTTTTGTGTTACAGGAACAAGCAGTGTGCTCAAATCCAAGAAATGCCTCAGTCACCAAATAAGTGGAAAAAGCCTGCGGGCTGTTCCATTTCGACAATTTCCCTCCCATCCACGCTGAAATTAATTTTAGTCGGTGTTGTGTTAAGATCACAAGAGCTGCTTCATGCATAAAAAAGGAAAAGAAACTATTTAAAGAGCTGGTGGGCAAGCCCCCAGGGCAGTAGAAAGAGTTGAAGGCAAGAAAATAACATACATTTACAAGCCTGCAAGGAAAAGAGAATGAAATTTTAAAAAGTCCCATTTTTGTCAAATCTAAGGGAAATGATTTAGTGACAACAGCACAATAATGAAACAAAAGTGCTGTAGATAAAAGAGGGAGACAAGATGCCAGCAGAGGGATAAACAGACATTGTAGTCCCTCCGCTTTGGATTCATGCCTCAAAGCTCCTCTTTTGTCTCGAAGCCAAACCACTTGAGGTGACCCCCATTCATGCAGTCAAAACAGGAGGGCAATGCAGGAATGTATGAAAACTTAAGTCCTTTGTCAAGTCTGAAAATACCAGATTTAAAATGACCTCTACTGTTCCCCTGGGGTTTGCTCTCATTAGCTGCGGCTGCTCCAGCTCGCAGTAAATGTTCGCAATAGCAGGTGTGAGCCAAGAGTTCCAACTGTGTAAAATAAATGTGCACTATTCTGAATAAAGAAACACTTGAGTCTTTCAGCTGCTTAAGTATTAATGTCCAATAATACACATAAAATGCAGCCTTTTGCTGTCCTAAAGTGGACTCAAGTATCAGCTTCAGTGTCCCTAATTCAATTTAGTACACTGATCTAGTTATTAATCTCACTAGACTTGAATAGATTCTCCACAGCCGATTGCCTGTCACACATCAGTGGTATAATTTGTGATTTCTTAGTGCCACAAGGGAAAGAAATGGCAAAACATTTACATTAAACTCCACCAATGCATTTCTGTTTTTGAAATCACACAACTCTGTGACTTGTTAGATTGGTACTAGAAAGAAAAATGTTTCTTTTTTTTTTTTATCGTCGAATACTCAATGAAGCATCTGTCATGGAGAAACCATCAAGCTCTCAGAGGTTAAAATAGCTGCCTGCTATTTTAAAGTAAAGAACATGCAGCTCTTTGGCTGCATTCCAGTTGTAGCTGGAGTCCAGACTCAGTGGAAGAATCGCAGGGATACAAAGAATTTTGCCACGCTTTTGATCCGGACAACATGTTGAGACATTGTTTATAGTGTAAAGGAATGCTGATAGTCAACACACAAATATGTTCTCATGTTGCAACTTTCCCCTCTCCCTTCTTTATGCTGCAGCTTTTTTTTTTTCTTAACGCTGACACAATTTAGGTTGTTTATTAAAATCTGTCATTGCTGCAGTCTGTGTCCTGTTTTTAACAGAGAAGACGTGAAAGTGATACTCCCTCCAGACTGCAATCCAATGATTCCCTCTGCTTTAGAACAAGACCCAAGAATAATTGAAAACTGTGTTTGGACTGCAGCATTGGAGAAAAAAAAACAAGGCTTTAAGTGTAATGCAGCATATTTGATGTATCTGCAAAACAGCAAGGACAAAGGAAGCAGAGAGATGCTGACAGAGCATGATTCTGTGAGTATGTGGAAGAGTAAGATTCAGAAGAAATGAAAATCTATTTTCTCTTTTCTCTTAGCCAAATCTCAGCCCTATGTTATTACCATTCCCAGTGTAAAGACTGACATAAGGTTTCCTCACAATGTATTTTCATATCTCGAGAGCAGCTGTAGTGAATGCAGAGGAACATCGATACCAAGAGGAATGAATAAAGGCTGAATCAATAAAACATCTAGTCAACTAAAATTGGAACAGGCGTGCATCTGTCTTAAAAGAAACACATATCTGCATGATCTGAGCCAGAGAATATTTCACAAGCCTCAGACTCTGTGTAGAGTACATCTGGCAAACATCTAATACTTTTAAAGATGAAATGATTTAATCCAAAACCCCTCATGTGCGCTCTCTGCTATTGGCCAAAACCTCAGAGTTTTTAAATAGCAAATTATTCTAAATTGCTTCTCTGTTGCCATGGATACCCCCCCCTCCCACCACAATGCCAACCCGATTGTGCAATTACATTAGTGTGCCAAGGCATGGTGAGGTATTAAAAATCTGTAACAGACAGAAATGAACAGAGATAGCAGAATTTGATGTTTCTGTAACAAGAGATCACGTAGGAAAGCAGGAAGATTAAATATGTAGGAGCTGTTAAAAGGCGCTGACCTGTATAATGAAAGAAACAGCATGAAGTGCAAGACAGGGAGGGGAGAGTGAGGAGGGGGGGGGGGGGTGCACAGAGAAAATGGCACAGCACAGAAGCAAAAGGCAGTCTATTTCAAGGTTATTGATGCCATCTTTTTCATGACCTCATTTTTAATTCAGAGCGCTGGGCCCTGACAGCTAATCTCGGGAAACGGTTTAAATAAATATCATTAAAGCTTCCCTGTAGCTGCAGCGGCAGACCTTGGCTTGGACATTTCTACATTGATTTTTCCCCGCGCACTAATGAACGACGCTCTGTGACTAAACAGTAACTTTGAAAATGACAATTAGCTGAGGTTATCTCCTGTTCAATTCCAGCTATGTAACTCAGTTTCTAATAGTGATTACTGCCTGCTCCTGGACAGCATAAATATAGTGATTATGCCCTTGGCTCCATCTTTCACAATAACATCTCCTAGGAAACCATTTCATGTGATTTTACCATTAGGGCTGTAAAGGGATAATGTGTATAATTTAAAACGAGAGCTGAATGCTTGTGGAGCTTCACAGTCTTTAACCCAAATAACACCAAGATAGCCAAGAATATCCACTTAATTGAAAGCAATTATGACCTGAAATATTGTTTCCTTTTTTCTTACTGGTTGGAGATTTTATTTCTCCGCTCTACTCTACGTTGCCCCGTTGAGACAAATCGGAAGCGATTCTCCAGAGAGAAATACAAAACATAGGTGTTGTTCCACTTTGTACGCTGTACATTCTTGCTTGTGAATTATATTTCTGTTGCACACTGAGTAATGATTAAAGGTGGAAACAAAGACGCCTCTGGGGAGCAAACACACACTTCAGCGAGCCTACAAACAGCCTCATTCATCATGCAGAGAGAATGGCCGTGTTTGCTGAGTTAATACATTGGAGCTAATTGCCCTCCAAGCAGCCCAAACACCAAGTCTCAGCTAAAATTATTCCCCTGAATGGAAACTTGCTCAGCTTCAGCTGATATTTCTCTCACACACATCCCCGGCCATTACCCCTCCCTTGTACACCTTCTCTCTGTCAGCCTGATATTCACTGCAGTGTGTGGATATTATTGCACTGTATTGATTCAGCATTATTTTCTCTCGCTGCTTCACGGTGGCTGGAGAGGGAAAGGCCAGCACAGCAGCAGTCACATCTCACCACTTCCCATGTGAATTTATCCCACTATGTCCGGTTTCATACCACCAGCGCTACACCTTACAGTCTAATGAGCTACGTGAACAATATAGTTTTTCACATCTGGCCTCACAGTAAATCATAGACTTTATAAGAAGCATAAATACTGACATGCGTTTTTTTTTTCTTTACCTGGAATTTATTTTCAAGTGAAGCAACTTAACATGTGGAGTCATATCACAAGCCCGACTAAAAAAATACATCACAATGAACAACGCAGCAAACGATTTCCCACGTCTATACTCTCTCTTGCAAATTTCCTGGGAAAGCTGCTGTAGCCTGTGCTGCCTTGGCATGCAGATTTGCTTACAGCATGCAATTCTGACACAATCTGAAACTGCCAGGCTACCTCACATGACACTGCTGGCATCTTTGCTGTATTACTGACAGGTGGGTGCGCGCCTGAGCTGTGCTGATGCATGGACCTGCCGCGGCGGAGGGGAATGGAGAGGGTCATCTTCCTGAAGGACTGACCTGCTTGATGAGCGACTGGCTATCTCTTGCTGAGAAGATCATATTTGGCATTTGTTTAACCTTGGGAAAGAGACTGTGTCGTCTATATGTTTGTGTGTGGGAGTGAGAGTGCATGCAAGCTGCACTGCATAATATCCATATGGTTCCCTCAGGATCATATCCATATGCTTAGTTTTGGTTTGGTAATACCATCTAAGTGATTATAATGAGGAGGTTCAAAATGTTGCGGTATGTGACTGAATGACTAAATGAATACATTAAACCAGTGTTTGCATTTCAGATTAGAGCTATGTGTGCTTGTAATACAGTTACTGTATATATGTGTATCCATGTAGGTCAGTTAATAATTCAAGACTGCAGTTATTTCCAGTTACTCAATCTTCTTTGGTTCATTAGATTACACCATAATTGGGTCTATAGTGGAGCACAACTGATCAATTAGTCCCGAAAAAGTATCATTTGACATATAGACAGATTTGTTCACTCTGAAGGAATCTATTTCTTAAAATAATTATAACTACACGCAAAGGCATCCCGCTGAGAAATATGAGGCACCGCTCTTCATGTCTTTAAGTGCATTGACTTTCCTTGAATTAAATCAATATTTGTCTTGTGGTGCTGAATAAAGCATTGTGAAACCATATTGGATACAGCTGTGAAGGATTATATTCACTTGTGGCAACACAAACTGTTCCATGTGTGCATGCATAGCAATAATGTGTCATATATAACTTGGCAACAACATAATTCACCTCTCATAGTGTCTCCGTGTACACGTGGCGGCACTTGTGCTGCTGGGGTTGCCGCCTAATTCATCATACACATGCTTCCACTGTCTGCGCACTGTTATCTGGAGTAAGGGATGAGAGATAAGACAAAGAGAAAGAGAATCAGATATCATGAGATGAGTACAGACCCAAATTGGAAAAAAGAGAGTGAAAAAACAAGTGTTTGACATCATTTCAGTGTCTTGAGGAGTTACTGAGTCATGATGTTCCAGTTATTGAATTCTCAACACTCAATTCTCTAACACAATAAGCTCAGTTAACATCATGCAGTCAGTTGTTCCTACTATAAGCCCTTATCCCATAACAGATGGGAATAACGGACGGGTTCCAACACAACAGAAAAATCAAGGCTGCTACTGAGCTAACAAAGACTCGACATGAAACGTGAGATAATCAGCTACAGATATGAGGCTTTTAAAAGGATACAAGCTCCAGTTATATGAGCTATATCCTGTTTACAGCCTGATCTAAATGTCTGTTTGTATGACATTATAGAGCTAGCTAATGAAGAAACAAGCATGAGCAACACACTTGATGACTTAACATCAAACATTGACTGCATTTTGGATCGATGTCACACATGAATAGTGAATGCGTAAACAGCAGGTAAGGCTGCCAACTCAGATTTCTGACTCACACTGGCTGTGTATACGCGTGCATGTAGTACTGTACGGTGCACACTTGTGGGTAAGTATGTGCATTACACTTCATCTCCAATGTGGGAAAAAATGAGCAATTTATCCAATTTCCTTTTGCCCAGCGCAGAACAGAGGAACATGTGTTTTCCACACCAAGGGGGTTTTGAAACAACAGCACTATTTCTGTTCAAGGGGCTCTGAGCAATTCTTTCTTCTTGGGAAAATAGTGACGACCTCCAGGGGCAAAAGGAGGGCAGACAAAGCAAAGACAGAGAGGAAAGGAGCAAGACAGGTAGGGGATATCATCAGAGAGGGGGATATGTTAGATTCAGAGAAGGAGAGGGGGAATATCAGAGAGTGAATCAGAGAGAGAGGGACATGGAAGAGAGGGGAGGGACCTTCACATAAGACAGGGAATATATTGCCACATATGTGAATACTTACTAACTCATATCCTCCAAGTTTCTGAGCAGCTTGAAACATAGTCCAAAGGTTGACTGCGGGAGACAGAAGACAAACAAGGCAGTTAGAAACTCTGGGAAAGGACCTGAGCTGAAACAAATAACGTCATATACAGTCATACAATCTCCGTCCCCAGAGGGAAGGAGATTAATTTTTTGGATCTCTTAGTCAAGAAAAAGCAATAACAGTAATGTAAAAATACATAAATTGTTATGCTATATGATTCTATGTTAAAATAGATAGATAGATAGATAGATAGTGCCAAAGAACACTAATTAGCTGTACAAACACCCCAATGATAAAATATAGCCTATTGCCCGTTCTGACAAAGACATTTGTTAAACCTCAGCTGCAGCCTGCAGGTATGAATGAAAACTATTTCAAGCATCAAACACTTGGCAATATGCTCAAACGTGTGTTTGAACTAATGCAGATTCATTTGCATTGATTTCCCCATGCAAATACCCCATGACAGACCATATCATGGTACAAGTCTTGTGTAACATTTTTCCAAAAATAGCCGTGGAAGCTTTCAAAAAGCCCTGGAATGGCTGTCTCACTTTGAAAAAAAATATATTTCCCACAAACAAAGAAGTATGAGTTCATTGGGGTACTTTTTGTGCCAATGACATTTGTATTTGCTTTCTGTAACATCATTGTTTAACATTTTTATATGAAGGTCTATAAATAAGAAAAGGAGGACTCGCCTTGGGAGAAATCCATCAAAATTCAATCTGTGCGTACACAAAGCCTTGCATTTGTCAAAATGACATTTTCCTATCTCCGCATTTGACAGCATTGATTTTTTCCTTCCCTCCTCTCTGCGACCGTTGTCAATGCACGGGTGGAATAACAAAGGGAGCTGGGTAGATTTTTCTGTTTGAACTGAGCATGCTGGCGCATTGTGCTTTCTGACTGTGGAAACAGAAAGATGGTCTATTTAACTGGCTTGTTATGCATCGGCTGTAATTACCACAAGCGCACATGGGATTGGGACGGGGCAGAGCACATAAAGGAAATGGGAGAACATGCCTTTTCTAAGATGTCTTGTCATTAGTAATTTCTTTTCTTAATTCCCCTCTGTTTGGCAGGGGCAATTATCACTGAGATAAGGATGACAAAACAGGAACACAATGCAGCCTCAATGACACACTGATGGCATGGCAATTAGACAAACAAGGCTGAAAGAGGGAGACAAATTGGAACTGATGTTCACAATCACTTGCTGATGTCCAAGCACTGAGGCACACATGTGCTGGAAATTGTCACACTCAGACACACACACAGTTACTCACCGACTAATCTCGTAGATCAAGGACATTCAGAATACACAATGTAGCAGCCACTACTGTTCTGCTACTCCTTCAATTCCCATGAACAATCTCTTTTATCTTTTAATGCTTCTTCTGCAGCCATACAACTTAAGAGACAGCAGCAAAGTCACTAACAACCCCGTGATAAAAAAAGAAAGACAGAGAGGTACAGGAACAAACTACAGCCCCGGTTATTAGTCAGGTTCTGTCGTACAGGTACGAGTGCGCGTTCTGGCTTTTACATGGTCAAGGACTATCAAATGGAGCCACTGCAGAGAGCAGAAAAAAAATCAAAGTACTACTCTCCTACTACAACCGAAATGCTTACTTTAAGGGAAAATAATCTATTTTAATACATCACTGTTTCAGTCATTTTTGTTTTTTTTCCACGGAAACAGAGAAAAAGACTGCGGCTCCCCCTCATCCACCAAGAAGATTTGCTTCTCTGCACTGTTGCTGGAAATAAACAAGTTGTGTGAAGATTTCATCTTGGACTACGAAAGCTGTTAACGTATTTTCACTATTTTTCTCTCTCTGTGAATAAATAACTGACAAACTGAAAAAAGAAGAAAAAAATGCATCGCTGTAATCTCTCCACGATAGTGAAATACTTGTAGCCATAAGTAATAACAACAGAACAATGGATGATTTATTTTTTCAAGCAAAGAATTAAAACTCTCTCCAGCCTCTATAAGATTCCCTGTTTTTGTTTTGTTTTTTAGTCCAGCTGGTCTCAAATCAGCACCTCTATTCTAAGATGTTTAATGCATACGAGCCCTGGAGTGAAATATAAATTCAGTATGAGAGTGAGGCAGGAAAACAAGCAGGCACTGTGTTGAGCCAGCGATCTTAATATTACAGGGCTTACAATATGTTATGAGCCAGTCGAGGTAAAAGCAGATTGATTGAATGTTTCATATCATTCTTTTGGGATGTAAAGAAAAACAATTGCAGGTAGAAATGAGGAGGCGGGGGTAGTTACAGAGACATAGTCTATTATTATTCTGGAGGTAAAGCAAATGGAAATTTTACTGGCTCAGCCAACAGAGCATGGGTAAGTCTGGTAAATCATTCAACCATCTGTTGCTTTGTTGAACTCCAGAGAACTTCATAAAGAAAATGAATACTCAAATGCAACTAAAATAACATAAGTTCTATTTCCATTACAGGAGAGTGAGTTCTTTGATCCTTTAATGCATTTGTACTGAGCTTAAAGGGAAGATTATGAAAACGCCGGCTGATTACATCTGAGGGTTAGTATTAATTATGATGTTTTTTATTCCTTTTTTTTCCTCCTCTTTACATGTGCTGATGTGAGCTTGCTGCCAAGGACGGAGTATAAACAGCATGATTTCACCATTTAATGAGGGCTTTGCTTATGATGTATCTGGTTTTGAGATTCAAAGCATGCACTGTATGTAAAACAGTTGGCGCGTGGACCTCGATTTTATTCTGATCTCAAACAGAGAAATGCCAACTAAAAGTAAATCGTGTTGGGTACATAATTCTCCTGACATCTTCTACTTTCCTCCTCTATCTTCCACAACCACAATGACCTATTTAAGCTACAACATGTCGGCAGTTGAGATGACAGGACTGTCAAAATACTGTGGTGAGGCGACCACAACTTACCTTTATGTAATAGTTAAGAGTAATGAGTTTTACCATGCTATAAACTGTCACCGGTACATTCAATAGACATCTCCCTCCCCCTCCTCCCTCTTGTTAATTTGCTGGAGTTGTTGTGTTACGGTCTGATCTGAATAGCTAAATGCTTCTTGGCTCCTCAGACGTGAATGCAAATCTGAGTTCCTGAGTTGAATAAAGACTTGAAGGAGCAATAAACTTGAAAACCACACTTTGAGATGAGAGCTCATGTTCTCATGTGTCTTTCCTCGAGATCAAACACCTTAAACAGACACACATTTTCAGTTTCAAGACTTTAATGGTGTTTATGTGCACGTTTCTGCTCTCTGCCCCGTGCACTTTGAGTGCAAGCTAAGCATCCGACCTATATTACAGATCTTTCATCTTGGGCAGACGTGTTTCCCATACATGTGATGTTCTTTTCACAGTGTGAAAGGACGTTCTTGGCCTTCACAGGAAACCCCTTTGACAAGTGTGAGAAGATATTCCCTGCTCATATGAAAGCCAGGCAAAATGTGCCCTGACAGGAATTCTCCTGAGTCTTTTACTAGCTGCTGGGTGTAATGATTTTCCTCTTAGACTCTCTTTCTTTTGTTTATTATTACTACCACAAATTGTATTTTTCAGTCTTTAACAACCCTGCAATTTTTGAATTTCTTTCCCATAATGCCCGCAGTGACTGGCAGTCATCTCCATTTCCTCGCTTAAGGCTCTCCTACTCTGGATAGTGAGGACAAAGTCTGCCTGACTTGACTGAAAAGCAGATACTTGCTTCTCATTTGCTCACAACATGGGGGCAGTATAGTTAACATGGTTAAGGATGCTGATAAAAATCCACAAAGGGTTTTTCCATGTCTGCTTACCATATTGTCTGACTTACAGTTTCACTTTTGATATCCGCAATGTGTTTTGAAACTTTTTTTTTTTCCTTCCACGCTGTGAAACCTTTTAGGTGTAAAACACGTCTCTTTGTGCTCTCTCCGACAGGTGTTTTTCTTTTCCATTTCTCTCTTTAAAAAAAAAAAAAATCTTATTGTTTTTAACTTGCTCTCAGCTCGCTAATCTTCCCCACTGGCAAAGTTATGACCTAATTTTAAAATAACCCCAGTGAAATATACCCACACAAACTTTACTACAGCACTACCGTAGAGAACTCCCTTGTTTAAACGCTGCCTGTGAGGGAATAAGAATAAGCTGTGCTACTCACTCTGTTTGAAGCCGAGGAAAGGGATCCTCTCTATGGGCGTGTCTCTTTCTTTCATGTACTTGTAGAGCGCCACCAAGAAAGCCTGCTCCTCCGCTCGGCTCTCGTCTGATGTTTCCTCATCTTTTGTCTCCTCACTTTTCTCACTCCTCTCCTCCTTTTCCTTCTCCTTTCCTCTGTCCTTCTCCTCGGCTGAAGATTTCCTGGAGAGGCCCGTCACCTTTTGTTTGGCCGGCGTGGTTATCTTTCCGTTGGGTACCGTTTTACAGCTGGGTCTGACCTGAGCACAGAGAGCACATTTGCAGGAAAAGGGAAACCTTAATGAAAACGTTATTCAAACGAGGTCAGACGGATAGTGTGAGACGGGTTTGGGTTTAAGCGCAAACAAATATTCTGAGTGGCCACAGAGGGAACCTCTCATTGATTACCAATGGAGCAGCTCCTCTTGTCATCACAGATTAGGCACAGATAGGTCTGAATCAAGCTTTAGGAGAGAATTGCTAGTATTGATTTATCTGCGCAAGGTCACATGAATAACGTGCGGAGGGCCTTTTAGAGGAGAGTTCCTTCACTTTGAGTACTGTAACTAGTCTCAGAATATTTCATCCAACACACAAAAAATGAAATTAGACATTTTTTATATGAAACACAATAAAACAACAACCAAAAGCTCTGACTGTTTAACAAGCAAAGTTTTCTTTTCTTTTCTAACCCTAACCCTAACCCTAACTAACACAATTTCAGAAGCAGTTATGAGATTCTGCCGTATTTAGAGGGCTGATTCTTGCTGACGGAAACTGTAGAAGAGAAAAGATAAACATCTTGTTTCACCGCGGGATCATGTTGTGCTTGTTTCAAAGACTATTATGTGCTTGGAGGCAGACAGGCACACAAAGAGAGAGCTGCTGTAACAGATGCTATCATTTCTAATCAATCATCTATTAAAGCAGTCAGATGAAAACAAATTGAATCATCTTAAAAGCAGTTTGGGTTCTTCAACCACAAAAATGAACCATAAAATACTTTAAAAAACCAAAAATAATTTGACCAGCAGAAAATTCCGAACATTCCCTGGGTCCCTTGCGCTACACCTGTGGGAGAGGTAGTCATCCCTTCGTGCAACACGTGGCCGCTGGCTGTCACATGTTTTCCGGCGTGCAGGTCACAGCATATTGTTTGGAGAACTTGAACGCAACGGCCTTGTTTTGCAACGGGAGATGAAAAAAACGATGAACTGGAAAGCCGTTGGCTGGCAACACAGGTTAAGCCTTTAATGCGAAGCTAGTAAACGACTGTTGTTTCATAATTCTCCTCATATGAGGCGCTTTGTTGTGTTGATAAAGATTTGTGAGTGCTGCCTCACAGACCGAATCAAATATACGCATAATGAACTTATATAATCTGTTTAAACAGTTTGGCCTGTGTCTCTGGAGTAATGTGAACTTTTGTCTCGTGTTATTTTAAGTGACTCATGTGATCTCACCTTGGTTGTAGTTTTGCCTTCGGAGCTGGAGGAGTCCTGTGCTGCCACAGCTGCTGAACTCTGACTCGACCCTGACGAGCTCTGACCCTGAGCCTGACCCTGGGAGTCCCTCCTCTGAGAGATGGACAGCTTCTTCTTCCGAGGTCGCCCCTTCAGGTTGGGAGCTGAGGGAGAGCAAACAGAGAATTGGATTTATCCATATGAGCTTGGAACGGGTCAACTCGTGTGCAGCAGTGATTTCATCTTATCAAAGCCAGCCTCTAATGTTTTCAAGTACATACTACTATATTTTACAACATCCATAGGCAAAAATTAATTTCCTGCCAAACAAGGTTTACTTTTAGCTGAGGAGAAATGTGGCTATGACAGGAACATTTACAACCAGAGAAAGGAATTTCACAGGACTGCAAGCCTGTAGCTAATTATTTCTAAACTGGATTAGTGCAACATTGTGCTGAATGGGGAAACAGCCTGCCAAATTGTTCCAATGTGCTAGTAAACATGATCCTCAAGTTCCCTCTGCGCCCAAAAGAGAGACTACATTTAAATTCTGACAGATGTATTTTTAAGACTGCAGATGAGGGCGTCAAACCAGCCGAGCAGTTAGTGAAATAATGCAAATGACAGACGTTGGTTAACCAGCAAATCCTCAAGGGAGAGACAAAAAAAATCAAGCAAAGAAAAATACTTCACACAGATGCGAGAACAACTCAAAGATTGAGTGTTTTTGTTACTTCAACATATATAATGCGACAAAGACCAATTTGGATTTTTTTTTTAAATGATCATGTCATCAACAAACATTAGAATGAAGACAGCAGTTCAAGAGGCATCATCGGTGTGGCTCTATTTTTGGTTTTCCCCTTGTTGGTCTATTCATGTCTTAAAGCTCTATACAGTTAATTAAAAACACATGAACCTGCCTGATAGGAGCTCTTTGTTTGAAAGGCTGGCAGATATAAATGCTTAGTTCACATTACGTACACAATAAACTATTTAAACCCTCCAAGTCCTTTGTACACCCACGTTTATGTCAACCCGTGATTGTAATGTAACTTCTTGGCAGAGTGCCTCGCCTGAGCGCAGCAACAAAACAGAGATATACTCAAAGGACAGAAACAGAAAGAAATAGAGGAGAAACTTCAAATGATCTCATTTCAGTCACGTATTTCTCAGCGTCAACATTTTTCCATCCGCAATGACAATTAAATCCTATCCAAGGTTGTTGGCTGCCAAAAAAAACTCTGTGATTATTTTTGTCAGATCAAATTCCCATCAAGAAGAATGTTACAACAACACAAGAGCTGAATAAAACTGAGAGCCATTAAGAGGGCAAAATGCTCACAGCCCGACTTCATGTTGTTATTTTCACAACCGCTACGCTGTGGAAAATCAGCACAGGGAAAATTCCAAAGACAATTGTTGTACATTTGTCATCTCCTTGGCAATGAAAGAACAGGTTTTCAACAATGTAATCTTTACTTAGAAAGCTCTGGGTGTGCTCCTCCCTGCAATGTTTTCTCATTTTGCTGCTTCCTTTACTCTGCTAATACCTCATTAAGACTCTATTATCACACGTCTTTGTACTTATTCATTTACAACTAAACATGAGCATTAAAATATTTAGTACAAATAGTATTTGTATTTTAATCCTTTTGGAAAGCTTTTTTTCAGTGAAAATGTTTTTAAAATAAACACCACAGAGGTATATATTGGATAAAACCTCAAAAGAACTAACTCATGACTACATGCCACAGGTTCATGGTATGTTCCATATGATTAAAAACAGACACGGGCTTAGGAAACACAAACATTTAATCACCAATTGCTCGCTGGTTTGACATATGAGATTCTCATCAGATTGAGGTCACACTCAGAGAGCGGTCCTGTTTTTAGTCCAATTACAAACCCCCATGACACCCTACACTCAGTTACATAACCTGCTTGTCTGTTTACATTTTTCATCAGGCCAAATACTGCTGTGTAAGAAAATGCTGCAATTACATCAAAACACCGCTGCATAAAACATGTTGCTGCAGCAGAGAGTGACTTGAAATCTATTAGTGACGGGATCCGAGATAGAAGAGAGCCCGAACACATTTAAACAAACCCAGGTTGATATGACAGGGGACTAAGGTTAAACAGTACATCCATGTATTTCTGTAGACATACACAAACAGGCACGGAAGGTCAAGTGGAGGCAATCGTTCTGTGCTGCAGGAGACATGCTGATCTGTTCTCCACATGGCCGAGTTGCATAAGGGAGGAATCATCAGCTTTAGAATAACACCAAGAAAGTCAAACATGAACCGACTTCGCAGATTGATTTTGTCAAATGGAAACACAAACATTTATAGTCTGTAGGAAACAAAGTCAACATCACGAGACAATGATTTTACAGCACCCTGAGAGACGTTATATTTATACCCCTCTGTGGGCATTAAGTGCTTTTTTTCATAGCACTATGAAAAGAGAGAGATCATTTAAGCAGGTTTGATACTTCCCTCTATGAGCCGAAAATGGGCCCTCTAGTCACACACCAAAAATGGATGCTGACCAAACTTCCACATTCCATTTGGCTTCTCATTCAGTTAGTTATTGTTCACTGTGCTTCTCTGCTTATCTAGGACACTAACATGACTTGGATACACGCCTTGAAGTGGCCAAAGGGCTCTGGCCTGATCTTTCACAAAGCCCTAAAGGAACACTGCTCAAAGAAAAATAGTCAAATACACATTCTGCTGTTATGATGATGAAATGTACTGTAGAGAACAGCTTTCTAGAGGGAGCTGAGGCCACGTGCACCCACACGTACAGAAATACACAGGTAAGGGGTTTTCCCCAGGGTTGAGAATCCATCATGTCTTGTCAAAGAGCCATGAGCCATGGAAGTCACAATGACTTCTGCACAGAATGACAACCTACTCTCTGGATGACACCAAATGCTCTCAGCTCTTATTAGCTTTAAAACAAGCCTCTGCTTAATGATTTCGCCCCCTCAGATTCAATTAAACAAAGAAGTAAATGCTATTTGGTTGATATCAGTGATAATAGAAAAACTCATTAGAGACAGCTCAGGAAGGGTTCTGATGGGTCTATGCTTCAACAGAAAAGAGCCACAGGGAACCAGCAAAATGGACTTATTGACTGAGGGGCTGCTGGGAATACAGAGGAAACATAAAGCCAACTGGAGAATTCATCTGCTGGATGTCTGATATGATAAAGCTTGATATCTACGAGTTTACTTAATGAAGAGTAAAACGGTTTTATAAATCCTCCTTATAATGAGAAAACACATGATTGTAATGATAGTGTGCGTGTTTTCGCATTTTTGTCTGGTAAAGTGAAATTAAAAGCTTGGGATCTAAAAATACTTTGATGTACTTAAGCAGATTAACAGCCAACTCAGCCTTCCTTTTGCACTTTTGGCACAATAACGCTTCAATAATCTATCACACCCGAAAGTGTGCGCATGACTTTCTTATTTTTATCCACGTCAGCTAAATGGATCAAAGGGTGTTAAATGGAATATGTCTGTTGATCAGTACACCAGTTTGTAACAACAACTAAAGGACGGGTTGATAAAAGCTTCATTACAAACATGCGTCATTTTAACCTTGTTACTTTTTAAATGTTACATCCAGCTCAGAGAAGTTCATATTTCATGTCTAAATGAACTATTGTATGAGTTGCCATGAAGATGATTATACACACTCATGTTTCTATCAAAATAAACAAATATCAACCTTTGTCAACCAAAACTCTACAACTGAACAAAGATCCAGCAACCAGTCAGCACAGATAATTAATGGACACCCCATTAATAGTTTGATAAGCTTCTACATGTGGCTCACTAGGTGGGGGTCAGTGCTTGAAGAAGTTATCTTTTTAAGTGTGCTTCTGCTGATAATTTCTTAAACCTGTGCCCAGTCTTCAACATAGTGTTGCTGTGCAAAAGCATCCTGCTGCACTGTGCGTCCACCACATGAACATAGGAATCATTTGAAAAGGAAAAAAAAAGTCCCAGCTAAATGAAATTATATCTACACAGTGCAATTTAAAGTTTCAAATCCAACTTTATACCCTTGGTAAGGCCAAATAATCCTGAAAATCAAATCACTTTTCTTTTTCCTGTACACCTTTACCTTGAACTCAATGAAAATTAACATATAGTGAAGGCAGGATGTTACATTAAATTCAACATTCAATGTGCTGTTGTCTCCTATTTCTTCCAGAGAGGGACTGAAAACACACAGCAAACTCAACCCTGTTTGTTGTAATTGTGTTTCATTAAGGCAACATTTTAGAAATGTTACCAATACATATGTTTGCTATTTAGGACAATAAAAACAGAAAGAATACACCACAAATGTGAAATACATTTGCAGTCACTTTAATAACGGCTTCCCACAGTCATCCTCCCACCCTCATACATAACTACATGAATCTGAATTAGCATGATAATAGCCGAGTGTCACATTGAATGTTGTGGCAGTGGGGAGTTGTGAGACTGCTTTATCTGCTTTCCATTCCTTATGGAGGCTCCAGTATTTCCTATGCTAGAGGAGATAATAAAGGAAACACTGAACCTCCTTTCCTTTGAGAAATCATGGGTGCCACTTAGAGTTGTTCAGGCATTTTACACAGTTATGACTCTATCCAAACAAAACAAATCTTGCCTGTGTTTGGTGGTACAGTGAGAACATTCAAAGCCAGGGTACTTGAGTTTGTCATGTTAACCTAATGTATCCCTTTGCTCTACTGGATTTTATCTAAAGGACAACATGGATTTAATCAAAGGCCATGTTTTTCTGCTTTAGAAAACCCTGAGAACTATTTCAGCCAATGTTTCACATTTTCGGTGAAAATCAAACAGCATCAATGCTGCCAAACAGGAAGTGAGATAAAATCTCAGCACCTGTTTTTGGCGTTGACACCAAACTGCTGTATGGACTCTGTATCTTTTTCTCAGTTTCTCAAAAAAAAAGAAGAAGAAAGAATGGGGGTTGGGGACACTGCAACATCAGTGCATCAGTAGTTGCAGCCATACAGAGGAAGTTGTCATGGTGACTGTACCCTGCCGAACTACTTTGTCCTTTCAATCTCTGCCTGCAGCTTTATTTATCTATTGTTGGCTTGCCAGTAAAAATAACTGCCGAAGTAA